CACTCAGCAAGAACAGCCAGAGGTGGTCCACAGTGCACCGCATACAGCAGGGTGGTCCCGTGAGACTCTGCTGTCTGCGATGCCCTTAGCTGGTGTAAGTACACTCCAGACTGTTCCCACAACAATGGAACCGCCCGCCATGCATCTCCCAGAACGCAGCCCTGTTATTAAGTGAATACATGACTGTATTTATGGACGATTACTGTGTCTTGGGCACCACTCTCGGAGCTGGGGGTATGTCAGGGAAGACGAAAATGTCTGCCTTGGTGGCACTTATATTCCAAAGAAGGATCACAAGCAAATAAATGGAGAGATAGCAAACAGGTATACAGTCACCCTTCCATATCTGATGGGGATTCATCCCAGGACCCCTGGGGATACCAAGTCCCTAGGGTAAAGTGGGACTCCTGTGTAAATTCCACACAGCCTCCTGTACACTTTAAATAATGTCCATATGACAAATAATGCTGATACAATGTCAATGCCAGGTAACTAGCTGCCTCTTCATTGATTGAATTGTGCGGTGGATTTATTGTGAGATTCCATATAGTGCATTCCAGCCATATGCACCCCTCTATAAACAGTGTCCTGCATGGCTTAGGGAGCAAGGACAAGGACAAAAGTCTGTATGTGTTCAGTGAGGAACCCATTTTTATCAAAGGTTCTCAAGACAGTCGTTTGGATCTGTGGGTGTGGAGGACTGGCTGCAACGTGGCATGAGGCGGAAATGTTTAGAAGAAGGCAAAGTGGGGTGCAGGCACAGAGAGCAGTGGGGCTGTTGCACGAGCAAAGGGAAGTGTGGTGGGTTGGCTTTTTTAATTTTGTTTTTATTTCTTTATTTTTTTTTTGGTGAAACTGGAGTTTGAACCCAGGGCTTTGTGCTTGCAAAGCAGGTGGTCTACCACTTGAGCCACACCTCTGGTTCATTTTGCTCTGGGCATTTTGGGGACAGAGTTTCAAGATCTATTTTGGGGGGTGGGGGGAAGTGGCACAAATAATGTATACACATGTAAGTAAATGTAAAAACGATATATATGTATATATAGATATAATAGATATAGAAAGATCTATTTGCCCAGGCTGGCCTTGAACTGCAATCTCCCTGATCTCTACCTCCTAAGTAGCTCGGATTATAAGGTGAACCACCAGTGCCTGGCTTGTGACAGGTTTTGAACAGAGACCCTACATGACCTGATGTAGGCTTTAGAAAGACCACTCTGGTTGTCGGATAAAAAAGAGACTGTAGGGGTCAAGACTGGAGGCCGAGAGTCTAGGCTGGAGGCTGTCACAACAGGCCAACGAGAGGTGGGAGCTTGGGCCACAGAGGTGGGAAATGGTCCCAACTGAAGATGTCACCAAGATTCACAACTGGCATCCTGAGAACAGCATGTCTGCCAGGTATGGTGCTAAGAAGAATTCAGTTTTCCTCTTCCCAGCACTGATTCTGCTTCTTACTATCCTAAAATAGCTGGTCATTGTCACGTCCATGTTGGGGTAGGTGGTCCACTCTGATCTACCAGCTCCCCTGTGCTGGGGACCCAAGCTCCTTCTGAATTGTTGCTGCACCATGTTCAAGGGCAGGGCTGCCAAACTGGGCCCTGCAGGAAAAAGCTGGTATCTGTGTCTGTACAACTCTCAAGCTGACAATGGCTTTTCATTTTTAAATGGAAATTTAAAAAAAAATTCTGCAAAATTCAAATTTCAGTGTCCAAGAATAAATTTGGTCAGGACAACCCTATGGATTCATTTACGTATTGTCTGTAACCAATCCCAATTCCTGGTATCCATGCATGTGACCTCATTTGGAAACAGGGTCATGATAAGGTCACATTGGGTTGGGTAGGCCTTAAATTAATGACTGGTGTGTCCTTGTAAGGAAAAAGAGAAGTGGGTATGGTGGTGCTCCTCTGCAATCCCAGCACTGGGGAGACTGTAATCCCAGCTACTCAGGAGGAGGAGGTAGGAGGATCAAAGTCTGAGGTTGCCCAGGCAAAAACACATGACCTTATCTGAAAGACAAACAAATAAAGGCTCAAGTGGTAGAGTGTTCTTTCCAAGCAAACACTTGACCCTGACTTCAATCCCCAGGGCCACCAAAAAATAAGAGAAAAAGGAGAGGGAAATTAGAGTACAGAGACCCCAGACACACTCCCAGGGAGGGACAGTTTGGACTGAGGCAGCCACAGGCTGGGGACTGTCTGTAGCTGTCAGGAAGGATTCTGCTGGGGGACAGGGGGCATTCAGAGGGAACCTGGCCTTGCCCACAATTTGGCCTTGGACTCCACACCTCAAAACTGTGAAAGTGCATTTCTGTTGCCTTAAGTCATCCGGCTTGTCCTACTTTGTTCTGGCAGCGTGGGAAACTCACAGAACTGCTTCAGGGCTTCACAAGCTGACCGGAGTCGTTGTGGGAGAGATTTTATGTAGGCCACCAGCCTAAAATACTGACTCTGTGGCTCTGGACAGAAAGTTTGCCAACCTCTGAGCCAGCATATGTGTCCTTATTTAGATGGTTGTGGATATGGAGCCATGGTCCCTGCTAGGGAAAAAGTTAATCACCCCGGAAGTATCACCGCCATTGTAGTTGGGGAGATTTGAGCAAAGCCAGGTAAGTCTTAACCAAAGGACAGGGGGCCACCTGACCTTTGCACATGCTGTGACAGCCCATCCCAGCCACTGCACCAGGACTTGCTTTGGGGGACACCCCTCCCCACAGTTCAGGCGGGGCTGCCCCCGTATACTGGTTCCAGCTTTGAGGACCCATTTGTATTACTCAGCTCGGCTGCCATAACTAATACCACAGACTGAGTTGCTCACACAACAAAACTTTACTTTTCCCATGGTTCTGGATGCTGACGTCCAAGGTCAAGGTCTGGTAGGGTTGGCTTCTGGTAAGGGCTCTTGTGCTGGCTGGTGGATAGCCACCTTCTCCCAATCATTTTTCTTTCTTTCTTTCTTTCTTTTTTTTTTTTTTTGTGGTACTGGGGCTTGAACTCAGGGCTTCACGTTTGCTAGGTAGCCACTCTACCACTTGAGCCACACACCCCCAGCCATTTTTTTTTTTTTTTTTTGTATTTTCGAGTTTGGGTCTTGCAAACTAATTCCCCAGGCTGGCTTTGAACCTTGATCTTCCTGATCTCTGCTAGGATTACAGGCGTAAGCCACAGGTGGCCGCCTGATGGTCACCTTCTTGCTGTGCCTTCACAAGGCCTTTCCCTGGTGAATGTGCAGAGACAGATCTGCCTCTCCTTCCTCTCCCAAGGCCACCAGTCCTAGTAGACCAGGACCCCAGCCATATACCTTCATTTAACCTGAATGAACTCTCCAAAGCCCTATCCTCAAACACAGTCACCTCAGGGGTGAGGGCTTCAATACAGTCACCTCAGGAGAGGGCACTCTGAATTTCTCATTTGGTCAGTTTTCACATACGACCGCAAGGCATGGCATTTTCTGTGACTTTCAGGACAAGACTTTTCACCCCTGTAGTAAAAAAAAAGGTGAGACCAGAGCAGCCAGGACGTGTAGAGATGAACTGTCAGAGCACAGAAGACAGCAGAGATACTTAGCACAGGGATAACTGATGTATATACCATTATAGCACCTAGATCCAGCTGTACCTGAAATAGGTGCTCCATGGCCAGTTCTAGCTGTGTATCTGCCACTTGCAGACACCTGAAGAATCCTGACTAATGGGATTATGGTCTCAGAGCTAACAGTGGCAATGAAATCTAAAAGTAGGTCTGCTCAGCTCCCAGTGGCCAGCTCAGGATTTCTGGGGAATAATCTAAAAGTCATCCTGTGAGTTCTGGTTCCAGATCACAGCTGGGCTTTGATATTGTTTAATGCTTTTACCCAGCAAGGAAGATGCATAAAAGATAATTATTCTAATAAGTCCAGGTTATTTCTGGGAGAGGCCTCTGTTATGAAACACAAAAAAGGACTCAGATTAAACTCCCAGCAGAGGAGGAAGGGACGTCCCTGGGTCCCCTTCTCTGGGAATTCTGCCCCCTGCTTTCTCTGGAGCCAGATGCTGGGTTTAAGACGCAGCTCTGCAAAGGCTGTGTGACCTTGGGCAAACAGCTGAATCTGTCTGAAAAATGAGGAAGAAAATAACACTCTCTCCTTAGCATTAAAGTGAGGAGGGGAAAATGTGCACCTGGCTAGAGCACACAGGGAGGCCTTCCTGAAATCTCTTCTTCCCCAGCTCCTCCTCACTGGAGGGTCAGACCCAAGGTTGCACTCTGCCATCCCCTGGCTTGGGAGGGAGACACCCACTTCTCACTGTCATACAGTTGTCTTTCATTTTCTTACTGTGGAATCCCTTTTTTGTTTATTTGTTTTTGTTTGAGACAGGGTCTTGCTATGTAGCCCAGGCTGTCCTGGAAGACACAATTCTCTTGCCTCAGTCTCCCCAGTTCTGGGATCGCAGAGGAGGACCACCACACCTGGCTGTCCTTTCTTTCCTGTCCTGGGGGAAGGGTGTGGTACTGGGGTTCGATACCACTTAAGCCACGCCCTTAGCCCTTTTTTTTTGCTTTATTTTTCAGATACAGTCTTGCAATTTTGCCCAGCTAGCCTGGCCCTCCCTATGCCCTCCACATAACTGGGATGGCAGCCGTGCTCCACCACGCCTAATTTATTTGTTGCAATGGGGGCTCACCTGGGCTGACCTCAAACCACTATCCATCCTCCGGATCTCCAGCCCCCTCCCTCCAGAAGCTGGAATTACAGGCGTGAGCCGCCAGGCCCGGCTGCCCTTTCTGTTTTTGACTCCCCTTTCCACAAGGCTGTGAGCTGTTCACTGCTCTTTCCTCAGCACGTCGGCCCCTGCCCGGCACACAGTAGGTGCTCAAATGGATGCAGGTTTGCAGAAAGGCCAGCCGCGGACGGCGGGGACCACTTCCGCCCCCGGGCGGGCCTGCCACGCCGCCAGCAGCACCCGCTGGGGGTGGGGCCGGTGGAGGGCGGGCTGGGCAGTGGGCTGGGAGCGCTTTTCTCCTCCTTTTCCCCTTCCCACTGGAAGTCCGGGACAGCGCGACTCCGAGACTCGGGCGAGGCCACCGCCCCGGAATCAGGGAGCGCGGGGGTGGCCCGCGCGTCCCCAAGTCACCCCCGCCGCCCGGAGCCGGAGGCCGAGAGGGGGCCCCGCGCTCGCTGCAGACTCCGGCGTTTCCTCAGCGGCTCGGGGAGAGGAGAACGGGCCGAGTCCCAGGGCCGAGCGCCGAGCGCCGAACGCAGCGGCCGGGGAGCCCGCGGGCCGCCCGGAGTAGGTGGCGGACCGGGCCGGGCCGGGCCGGGTCGGGCGGGTCACAGCGCGCCCCGGAGGCCGGCGGGGCGCAGGGCTGGCGACGGCGGCTGGAAGGGGAACTTGATCCGGACGAGGAGGAGGAGGAGGAGGAGGAGGAGGCCGAGCTTCAGGACGGCACTGCGAGACGGGCGCCGCCGCCCAGGCCGAGGACACGGGGGCCGCAGGGCCACCCGGGCGCTGCGCGCATGCCGGGCCGGGGGCGCCGCCGGGGCTGTCGCCCGGCATGTCACAGCTGCACTACACCCTCAACCTGCGCGTCTTCTGGCCCTTGGTGACCGGCCTGTGCACCGCCCTCGTGTGCCTCTACCATGTCCTGCGGGACACCGGGGGCGCCCGGGCCGAGCCCCCCGACGGCGCGGACAGCGGCTTCCCCATGCTCAAGGTGGCCATCGTGCTGTTGCTGGGCTACGTCCTCCTGCGCTGTCGCCACGCCGTCCGGCAGCGCCTCCTGCCCGCCTCTTCCCGCCTGGACGGCCACCCTCCTGGGAGCCACTTGAGAGAGCCGGGCCTGGGCATCTTGCTGGAAAGCTACTATGAGCACGAAGTGCGCCTGTCGCCACACGTGCTGGGGCACAGCAAGGCGCACGTGAGCCGGATCGTGGGCGAGCTGGTGCGGGCTGGCCGTGCCCGGGGGTCCCCAGGCCCCATCCCAGGGGGAGCGCTGGCCTTGGCCTTCCGCGGAGACGTCATCCAAGTGGGCAGCGCCTACGAGCAGCATAAAATCCGCCGGCCCGACAGCTTCGACGTGCTGGTGCCACTGCGCCTGCCACCGCTGGTGGCGCTGGAGCCGCGGAGCCTGGGCGCCGAGCCCGCGCTAACCCCGGCCCTCCACAGCTGCTTCGTGTGCGCCCTGAAGGCGCCACCATCGCAGTCGTCGTCGACGGCTGGGGGGCAATGGCTTCGCGACTGCAAACCTTTCTCCGATGGCTTCTGCGTGGACGTGCGCGGGCGGCGCCACCTCTCCGCCACGCTGGTGCTGCGCTGGTTCCAGTCGCACCTGCAGCGCTCCCTGGCCACCGTGCGCTACAGCCTGGAAGGGCGCTGCCGGGTCAGCCTGACCCCGGGTGGCCTGGAGCAGCCGCCTACCCTGCACATCCTGCCCTGTCGCACTGACTATGGCTGCTGCCGTCTTTCCATGGCTGTGCGTCTCATTCCCGCCGTCCATCTGGGCGATGGCGTCTTCCTTGTGGCTCCACCACCGCCACCTGTACCCGTGGGGCCACTGTCTGAGCTCCCCGAAGGCCTGCGCGCCGAGGCCCTATGGGGCGTGAACACAGCGCGCCAGGAGCAGAAGCTGCTGGGCTGGCTTCAGGAACGGGCGCCTCCAGGTGCCTGCTACCTCAAGTGCTTGCAGCTGCTCAAGGCCATGCGTGACCTGGGTGCCCGCGGGCTGGACCCGACGGCTGCCACCCAGTGGGGACGCATGCTGTCATCGTATGCGCTCAAGACAGCGCTGCTGGCTGTGCTGCTGCGCGAGGGGACCCCAGGGCCCGGCTGGGACGATGCCCACTTGAGCGAGTGCTTGGAGGAGTTGGTGCAATTCCTTAGGGACTGCCTGCTGCGGCGCCAAACGCTCTTCCACTGCGTCCTGGGCCCCGGCGGGGCGGCCACCGAGGTGGGCCCCCTGCCCAAGGTCCTGCGCGAGGCTGCCCCAGTTGACCTCCTGGCGGCCTTCGACGGGCGTGCCAGGGAACTCGCAGCTGCACGGTTGCTGTCCACCTGGCGGAGGCTGCCCCAGCTTCTCCGGGTCTACGGGGGTCCCCGCTACCTTGCCAGGTGCCCCCCACCCCGGAGTCAGCGCACTCAGGGGGCGTTCCCTGAAGGTGAACCATAAATCCTGACGGCACCCCACCTGACCAAATGCTCCTAAAGCTGTTCCCATGGGTGGCAAAGGTGCCAGTTAAATGCAAGATGAGTTGGCAGAAGGTAGTGGAAAATTGGGAGGTTTTGGTGACTTCTATGTCACCTCCTGGCTACCCAACCCACAATTATTGTGGCATTTTCTTCATACCCATTAGAACATCCTGGGCAATCTTTGGGAGTGCTACCCAACTGTTGCATGTTGCCTTGGTCCAAAAATGGTGGATTGTGCAGAATGAGGCTATAGAAGCATCCAGTTCTGAGAGAAATCGGGTGAGACATCCTCTCCTGGTGTTTTAGACACAGATCTCTGCTCTCCCCCCCCCCCAAATTTTTAGAAAGAAAGGTTTTTGACATACCTGTTTGGTAGGTACTGAGTTCCCATTGTTATTTAAGAAAAAAGAATTGACTATCCGCAGCTGGAGTTGAAGTTCTATTCCCGAGGTTAATATTCTGAGGCACAACCCCTCCCCCTTATTCAGATCCCCATCATGTATGTTAAATGCTGTGATCACAGGTGTTTGACCAGCTTGTTGATAAGTAAGGCGCACTTGGCCAGAGGCAATCTAGACCTGGTTAGATTCCAGAGCAAATCGTCCATTATGTGGGCCAGTTGTTGCATTTTGTGGTGGTTTGTGCCAAGCATTGCATCTAGAAAGAGATCAGTCATATTTATTATAAGACCTTGCAACTTTGAAAGGCAGCCAGGTGTTTCAAAGTCACAAGCCTATCAGCACCTGTTCATTGAGTGCTAAGAATGTGCCAGGCAAAGGGTACAACGAAATGCACAATGAAGACCACTCTGGTGAAAGCATAAAATGTGTTTGGTCTGAAAAAGAAGGTGCAGTTCAGGTGAAGATGGCCTGGCCAGTGCTTGCTGGTAGCTGGAAACTCCTTGAAGCTTTAAGACTTCTCAGCGAAATCCTTTGCAAAGATTTCTTGCTGAGTTTAAGGAGCAGTGGAGAGGAAATACCTGCTCTGAGGTCTGGCATGTGTGAGCACTCAGTGATGCCCTGTGATTTACTGCTTGGAAGGTTCTCGCTGGCCCAGGCTGCCATGGGGGGTTCCAGGCGGCCAGCTTCAAGGGGCTCTTGGTTCAGCCTGTGTCTTGCAAAACACTTTGTAGGGCTCAGTATCCTGGGCTCTGTGCTTGGGAGTCAGCCACTGCCTTTGGGTGGGCACAGGGTGAAGTTAGAAGAACGAGGGAGACAGCCCTGGACAACGGCTGTGCTCTTCTTTTCTCTGTGGGTGTAAGTATGAAGGGTTGAGTGTCATTTGCAGCCAGGAAATTTTGAAATTTTTCTCATCCCTCCCAAAACTTCTAACAGTACCCAGTTGCAGTTCAAGTTTAGAACGAGCCATCTTCCCTTGGCCTAGCTGAAATTACGTCCAACATCAGTGTTATCCTTGGAGATTTTTAAAAAATAAAACAACAACAAAAAGGCATATACTTTCTTAGACTCTAAAAGGCAAAACTTGGAAGACAAAAATAGTTACATGAGTAGTGCCACTGTTAAATTTCTCAGCTATTTCAGGGGAAGTCTATGAAGTCTTTACGGGACCTAGTTGGCCACTGTTTGACATTGTGAATAAAGGTTTGTGGGATTCTTATCAGAGATGCATAGACTTCTAAGCTTTGCAGCTGCTCTGAAAGAGGCACGGCAACAATGGGAATTGGTGCCGTCCCTTTGAGTTGCTTGGGGGGACATGCCCCTTGGCACCCCAAAAGTCATTCCTAGCTTTTGAGGCCAATGTTAGATCATAAGGTACTTACATTAAGCTTCTTGCAAAGGTTTAAGCTGCACAGTGTTTTGTAAAGTTAGTTTTGAAAATAAATGCCAGGAATAAATCATATATATATATATATATATATATATATATATATATATACATATATATGTATATATATAAAATTTCCATACTCAGCCCGACTTCTCCTGTACTCATTAAGTCTACAGGAGTGGGAACTTTTGGATAGATTTTAAACCTTAGCTGAATTTTGCAAATATTTCTAGCTGAGTTCCTTTTTATTAAAAAATATTAATAGTATTTTTAAAGTATAAATCTGGTGATATACTGTTCTCACTTATTTTTCCTGTTAGTATTTTTTTTTTCAGGTTAATTACCCAAAGCCTCACCCATTCTCAAGGTTTTTAAATTTTATTTTATTTTTTTGGTAAATTAATGGGCATTGTGTTTGTGAATTTTTTTTAAAAAAAATATTAATGTTTTATTTAAACACCATGCTGAGCAATTGTTCTCTGTACATGGTAACCAAAACTTAGAGATTTCGATCAATTTTGGTCAATGTTTAGTAAGCCAAAACATGTACTGTGTACAAATGAAATAATATGGTATATTCATCAGATGTGGTGATTGCCCAGGGCATTTAAATTAAGCTCAATTTTGTATTTTAGTAGGGCCACCATATTCATCTGAAATATACACATTTTGGTGTATTCTTGGTACTGGAGATTCTTGTATACAAATACTCTCATAAAAAGGCTCTACCAAAACATAATTGTTTAGCCAGTGCCAAAGAAATTTTTTGGGGGGGAAATGACTCAACCATTTTGCATTGCGACGTTCGTTCTTCAGTGACTCCTACTGCCCAGGCTTGGAGACTTCCTGGAATGTTCGTGGGCTGGGAGAAGAAGATGTGTTTTGCAAAATGAAATTGGAGCTGAAAGGAAGAGAATGGGGGTGAATTCAGAGAAGTCTGAGGAGTGAAGAGGAAGTGGGAGGAAGAGGAGAAATGGAAGATGAGGTGAAACCCGTGAGTGGTGGAGAGAGTGTTGGGGTTTGGAGTTGGCAAATACGTTTTTAGCCATTTCCAGCCACGGTGGCAGACTCAGCAGCCTGAGAGGGAAGTCAGTGAGGGAAGGGGAGGGTGGTGGCCGTGGAGACTGTGCCCACCATAAAGGGGGCAGCCATCACTCGGCTCCATGCAGAAAATAAGAATTTTTTTTTTTTCAAAAGTGAAACTCACTGATTTTTAAACAAATACTTTAAAAATGTCTAAAACACCCAGTGGGCCAGAGAAAACATTTGATTGAGCCTGGGGGCCACCAGTTTGTGACACCTGCCTTAATATAATTCACACCCCAAAGTATATATAAGGTTTTATTCTTTGGTGTGGACCTGGTGGTGTTTATATAGGTGAGGGTGTGCTATTCCAGTTCTGTATCTCTCAGAGTTAAGCTTTATTGTAGAAATAAACCACCAAAAAAAACCTAACAAAGCCACAGATAACACTTTACTAAGTTCCCAGAAGGACCCTGTTCTGGAGTCATTTTTACCAGCTCCATCAAGTGACTGGGGACAGGTCCCTGGCATTTCCTTCCTGTTGATTTGGGGTAAATTCCTTCTCTCTGTGACTTTGCAAATGAGTCATTTGGAAGGATTGCAAAATAACTCGTTTCACCGTGTTTGGTTCTTATATTAAAATTAATTTTCTTTTGTTCCTGGTAGCCCAGCCTGTAACTTTGCATGATGGTTGGTGGCTGTGAACACCAGGAAAAAAGAAAAACAAAAACAGTGCCTGGGTCTCTGAGCCAAACTTCTTAAACTTCTACCATTCCCATTGCCAAGGATAAACACAGAGTGACCTCTCTCCTGAAGGTTTCTGTCTCCTGCTGACTTGATGGTTCCCGCCAAAAGTTCAGACCCTAAAGCATCAACCCGACATGCTAATGGGCAAGTCTTGTCACCTTCTGGAGTCAGTCACTTTTTCCTGTCACCCGTGGCTTTGAACTTCATATCTGTTTTCACACAAAGGAAGATTTTTCTTCCATGGTGGAGAAAAAAAGCCTCATTCATTATTTTCAGTGTCCTGTAAAAGGGAAACAGTTTCGGTGTTATCATTGTGGTATTTGTTACTTTTTAAAGGAAATCACTTCTCTGTGACTTAGACATTTCTGTGTATTTTGTATACAGCATAGCACATGGGGCAGGAGCAATGCAAACACAGGTTGGAAGAGGGAGGAGAATATGTGGCCATGTATGCAGCTAAATTTTATGCAACCTGGTGTTTTGAAGTATTAGACACTCAGGAATAATTGAACACCTTTACCTTTAAAATACCAAAGTGCCTTGACTCTGTCACTTGACTTAAAGCATTCCTCCTATTTTATTCTTATTTTTAATGCATCTTGGGACCCCAGACTGCATGTCATGATGCAATCTGGTGGTGACAGTCTTAGCTTAAATTTTCTTCCAATAACAGAGACCAAAGAGTTAATCGATATGGTTCAGCTGCTAGAATTTCCATGGCCCCTGTGGTCCAGGGCGGCCATTCAGTTTGTATTTGAAGTTGGAGTAAATTTGCACTTTCAGTCTTCTGGGTCGCCTGGTGACCTTGTTCTTTTCCATGTTGCTGTGTCAATAAAGGAACCTGTAGAAAGCTGTGGACTGAGTGTCAGCTGTGGGGAGGGGGCTCATCCTCACCTGCCCTAACTTGTGGCTCTTTGCCCAAGCCGCTGTTTTTATGGAAGTCTTTCCCACGTCGTCACCGTTTGCACAGAATTGGCTCCAGGTACAGGTAGGAGAAGATGTCAGTGCACGGGCCTGCAGGTGTGCAACCAGGGCTCTGCCTCAAGTCTTTCTGAACCCAGAGCCTTCTGCCCTGCCCCTCCCTTCCGCCCCCACCTCCTCCACAGCACAATTCAAGTCTTGGCCTGTGGCTAATTCATAGCTCAAGAATTTTGCCCAGAAATTTCTTAGGCCCTGGGGCTCTCTTGAGATCATGTGCCAATAAGAAAAACCAGCAGGCTTAGTCTGAGATGGAGTCTCAGAGATGATGGAGGGCGGTCCCAAGCCTGAGCCAGGTGGAGGAGGCCGACCTGCAGTCATGGGTTGATTAAACACTAGCTGTGTGGGATCCTTTCCTCTGGTGGGGCATTGGTGGGTGTGTTCCATTTTGTTTTCAACAAGTGATACTGTCCTGAGGCGTTGAGGACACTCAGTGAGGTGGTCATGCCATAGTCTGCTACTCTCTTAGGAGTTCACAAACAGAGAGAGGCTGGGAATTAACGAAGGTGTTTCCACACAGTATTGGGGTGCTCTGTAGGGGCAGGTCATGAAAACACAGGAGAGGCCCCTCGTCATTGTGGGTGTCTCAGGGAGGGCTGCTTGGAGGAGGTAGCATCTAGGTTGTGACCCAAAGATAGGTAGGATGAGCCATGTCAAGTGAGTTGGGCTGAGAGGAAGGCATTGAACACCCAGGAGAAAGGAGCTTTCAAGTTTGTCTGGGCAGTGCAGGGGGGTGGGTTGGGACAGGGCTTCATCAGCAGAGAATGGGGTGGGATGGGGAGGAAGGCACCAGAACATAAGGGGTCAAAGCCAGAGTGGCTTGAGCTGGAAGTCTTGGTGGTATGCAAGTTATTTTTTTCTTCTTCATTTTTTTTTGGCAGCACTGGGATTTGAACTCAGGGCCTTGCACTTGCTAGGAAGGAGCTTTACCACTTGGGCCATGCCCCAGCCCTTTTGCTTTTTAGTTGCTATTATTATTGCTGTTGTTATTATATAGCTCTCACACTTTTGTCTGGGGCTGGCCTTGGACCAAGATCCTACTTCTGCCTCCAGCCTACACTGGGATTACAGGCGTGAGCTACTGCACTAGCTTGAATGTAAGTTCTGATTCAGTGATCTTCGAAGGTCCTCGGATTCTGCCTTGCTAACAGACTTCCAGGGAATGGCGATAGCGCTGACCACCTCAGACCAGGGGCCCCACGGCACCAAGGCCGCAAACCACACTAGATCTTGGGCTGACCCCGTGGGCTCTGGGAGATCAGTTTAGGTGAGGAATGGCACCCATTTGAGTTTGGTTCACTGTGGCTGCAGTGTGGACAACGGATGTCATAGGCAAATGATTGCCTGAATATTTACTTTTGCTAATAAAGTTTTATTGGTGCATAGCCACACCTGTTTACTAAAATGCTGCGTGTCTGGTCTTGAAAAATTGCCACAGAGACCAAATGGCCCACCAAGCTGATAATATTTTCTCTCTGGCCTCTTCTAGAAAAAGTTGGCTGATCCCTGTGGTAAGAGGGGACGTGATCAGATTTTGCAGGGCTGCAAACCTGGGCAAGTGGCCTGAGGTGGGTCAGAGAGAGAAGTTACTCCGGAGACCAACGGTAGCATGCTTCAGCACCAAGACCGGGCTTCAAATCTTGGCTCCCGCACTTCCTGTCTGTTTGTCTCTCTGCCAAATACTTGATTCTCCCTAGACCTCAATTCACTCATTTGAAAAATGGGATTGATAACGACACCTCACTCACAGGAGAGATGGAGGATTAGGTGAGGTTTTGCATACGCAGTGCTTGGGGCTCACTAAGTACCTGGTAATTATTGGCGTGGAATATTTGTATTGGTTTATTGGGTTGGATCATACTTAATAGGTTGGGTTTTTGGGGGTGACACTGGGGTTTTGAACTCGGGGCTTTGTGCCTTACCGCTTTTAGTTCATTTTTTAGATAGGGTATTGGATTTTGCCCAGTGCTAGCCTTGGACCATGATCCTCCTACCTCTGCCTCCCACATAGCTGGGATTATAGCTGTGAGCCACCACACCCAGCTTGGTTTTTGAGATAGGATCTCACTAACTTTTGCCCTGGGTAGCCTTGAACTATGATCCTCCCTTCTCCACCTTCCAGGTAGCTGGGATTTTAGGTGTGAGCCACCATGCCCAGCCTGCCGTGGAATTTTCATGCAGCTCATTCTTTGCCCACACCTGTCGGTTTCCCTTGATCCTCCCTGAACACACCTCCCACTATGTCTCTTTCCTCTGTGCCTATGGCATCCCCTCTATGAAAGGTTTTTCCCTGGGTGTATGAGATCC